ATCAAACCTTCAACCCACAAAGATGGATTTCTTCAAGATGTTTGGGAACAAGGGTTTGACTGTTCATTGTCAAATGCAGAATCACCCTCAATGACCAGTGAAACTTGTAGTGGAGAAGAGAATTTGGAGAATCTGCCTGGGCCTCTCTTTGAGTTTCAGATGACTAGTCACAGCTACAGTATTTACAATGCTGTTTATGCAGTGGCACATTCTTTGCAGGAGATAGTGAGATCAAGATCCAAACAGAGAAAAATTCCAGTGTTTGAATTTCCAGATCTGCAGCCTTGGCAGGTAATCTCTCCATGCCATGCCTACCTTTTGTTTCAGTGAATAGTCATTCTCATCCACATCTTAATAAGTTTGGTTGCCCTGGTTTATGGCCACATAGGAATAGAGAGACTGAGGCAAGAAAGTTAGTAGTCCAATAGGTCATTGTATGTTATAGAATAAAAGGGAATGAAAATAAATGATACCTTTGCAAATTTCAGTCTAGTCAATGGGACTTCTGTTCACCCTTGGTTCCGTAAATAATCATTTTGTCTTCATCTACAGTTGGTCTGCCTTGTAAATTCATCAAGCCTGCTTTCAGGAAGAATTCAATGGCAAGGTGTCTGAAAGAAGTCTTTCTTTGCCTTGTGCCCAAAACGCATTTGTGAAATGTGGTCATTTTTATACTTATGGTAAACTACGAGGAGAATTGCTGAGCTTAGTGCTTTAAAGTACTTGTAATCATTAGTTAATAAAATAAAAGTGAGTTGCATGTCTCAACTCTTCATCATTCTTTGTGGGTTGACATTTTCTTCCATATTTCATGCCAGGGAATGTTATTTGGATTCCTGGCAAGTAGAAGCAAAAGGAAGGAAAACTTGAATACTTTCATCCCTGATGCATTATTTTCTTTTTGACACCCTCTTCATTGTCCTCCTTCTATTAGCTCCACAAGTTTCTTCAAGGGATTTCTTTTAACAATTCAGCAGGAGAAACAGTCTTCTTTAAAAACAAAAGAGAAGGTCCAGGTGGCTTTGACATTGTCAACATGATCACTTTTCCAAACAGATCCTTTCAGAGAGTTAAAGCTGGAAAGTTAGATCCCAGTGCTCCAAAAGGGAAAGAATTGTTCATTGATGAACATTTGATTGTCTGGCACCCAGCTTTTAACCAGGTATGGAGAAATTGAAGAGACTCTTGGTCTCTTGATCCATTATGATCCCATGAAGATGTCTTTGTCTGTTAAATCATATTCAACATAGTCTCTTTTCAAATCTAATTTCTGCTTTTCAAAGAAAAAAAAAAGGCGTATTTTGTACAAATGTAGTCCTTGATCAAGCATTTATCAAGCTGACAAAATGACATTACAATGTAAAAGCTGGGTTATCATATTTGGGTTGCAATTCCACCTGAAATCATGGGAGTTGAATAGTTTCCATAACAATCTCATAATGTACATTTATATTCTCACTCTTCTCTTCTTCAAGCAGACCTTTTTGTACTTCCTTGTAATTTCAACATCTTTTTAAAGTATGGTATAAATCCAACTAGATAAAATGTATTAGCCCTCTGGGAACTCAAGAATTCTTTCTCCCATAAACTAGAAACTGTTTTAAAAGTGTTCCATGTTTCTGAACAGGTTCTTCCACTTTCTCAGTGTAATGACCATTGTTCCCCTGGATCCTGGAAGAGAAGTGTTGAAGGAAAACAATTCTGTTGCTATGACTGTCCTCCATGCCCAGAAGGGAAGTTTTCAAATCAAAATGGTAGGTTAGATATTCCACCAATTTTTCATTAGGTAGACTTAAGCAAAATGTAATACACTACTTTAGAAGGAATGGAATTAGTAGTTGTACTAGTTCTTCAGGGTGAATACTCATTTCTATACCTGTAAATCACAATCAGTTTTTAGGAGCAAAGGTTTGTCCATAAGACTCCTGCAGGTAGTGTTTCCTAAACAGGCCCAAAATATATATGGATTGAGCGATAGATCTTATATGATTAAATGATCTATTTCTATTTATTTATTTTTTTACATGTTTATCCTCATTGGCATTTGGTGTTCCTTTCCCTAAGACTTTTCACTCAGTAAACAAAATATCATGAATTTTTGTAAACCCAGGAAGCATTAAGTATTTATTTCAAAAATAAATAAATAAATAAATAAATAAATAAATAAATAAATAAATAAATAAATAAATAA